GACCCACAGATGTGAGCCTTGGGTTGTGGTGAGGCTGGAGATGAAGGAGAAGTATAATTCTGGGTACAGGCGAGGCTGCTGGAGCAGAGAGGGGTTTTGTTAATGATTGATGGTGAAAATCACTCTAATAAAATGTGCAGTCCTTCTGAGTGGGGATGATGATGATGGACAGAAGTGGAAGGAGCAGCCACCATTTCCTGGTTTAGTGGTTTGGCTGAGGCTGTGTGGTTTGCAGTATGGGCACTGGGTTGAGGCTGGGGGCTGACCATGTTCCCTGGGAGCCCTGTGCCTGCTATAGCTGGCGTGACCCTTCAGGAGAATGGAAGACAGGGCAGGAACATCTTGGCAGTGGCATCCTTCCTACCTGGGCTGCACGATGCTTCACTGCTGTAGCATGAGCCGGCACATCTTTCCACCTTGTGTGGGATCTGCAGCATCTTGTGGGGACATGTTAGAGTGAGCTCTGCAATGGCTCCTACTGCTCTCCAAACCCTGCTGGGCATGGTGGGGACCAGCACAGATCCTTCTCCATCTGCTTGGTCTGCCAGGCCCTTCCCCACAGAGTGGACAGCGGACTGGCCCTGTGTGGTTCACCTGAGCCAGGTGGATGCCCTGAAGGTGTCTTCTCTGCCTGTTTGGATTAGGCACAAGGAGCACTGGGGTGCTGTGGGGAAAGATGCGAGGAGGGACCTTCTTGCATGTGGACACCTGAACCTCGGGCACAGCATGCTTGAGGATGGTGTCGAGGATCTGCCTGGGGACATCTCTGTCCTGTGCCCGCCAGGACCGGTTGCTGCCGTTCTTGCTGTGAGCTCAGGGTCAGTGCCGCAGGGTGTGGGAACGGCCGGCCAGGAAGCTCCTGGGCGTGTGTCTTTCCTGTGAGAGCCTCCTTGAACTGAGTCATCTTACTCGATGCCGTGCTGTCCACCCCCTGCTCCCTCCTCCCGTGCCACGAGTGCAGCCGGGGGCTCCCTGCCTGGCCCAGCCGTGCCCCGTGGGCTGCGGACCAGACCCTTCTTGGAGATAGTGCTCTGTTTACTTTTGGGTTTGGCTTCGGCGCCTACCAAAAGCCAAGCTGCCAGATGTGTAAAACTGGGGGAATTTTGCACCTGATAGAATGAACTGAATTTGGTTAAACCCAGCAATCTCCTGAGGGGACCCCAAACGCGCTTTATGTCCAGGGCAAGAAACTTGTTTATAAAGTGAAGGATCTCCCAAGATACTCTCTGGGAACCTCTTTATAGAGTGGAGCATCTTGTGGGGGCAGGTAGAATGTTTCTAGGCAAGATGGGGTGAAGAGCCCCAGCTCTGCCCTGGGATCTCGGTGTCTGAACTGTGAATGCTCTTGGAGAGCTGTGGTCTGTTGCCTTCACTGGTGGGCAGCGTTTTTACTGCAGCCATTTGCCAGAGCCCAGTGATGATCTGGTTATTCACCTTAATTTTCCTTTGATTTTCTTTTTTTTTCTTACTGTTGGCATAAATAATAGAGTGAGACTAGCCTCAGAACTGCAGCAGGGATCTGGATGTGCATTGCCATGGCAGATAGCGCTCTGGGCAGATAACAGTATGGCAGATAACACATGGTTTGAAAAACACTCCTATGCTCAAGCAGGATGTGTGTCCAGATGCCAACAGTGCCCAGCTGCTCCCTGAAGAACTAGTCTGCACTAAGAGCTGCCCTGGGGTGGTGGCTTTGCAGTCAGGCTTTTGCTTTGCACCCAAATTATTTCTAATCTTGCAGAGCTTGTGCTGTGTATGAGCAGGCGATGCCTCTGTACCCAGGCACTAGGATCAGCAGGTGGTCAGCAGCATCCTCTGTGACATGGAGCACAAGCAAAGCATGGAAATGCCTGGCCTTTGACCGAAGTGGAGGAGCCTGGGGCACCCTGGGAGCTACCCTGCCAGCAGCTGTGGCCTTCTCCTGCACTGGGGAGCAGCTGTGTGTCCTATGGCTGCTGCTGAGAGCCGTGCATGCTTAGGAAATGTCAGAGATGCAGTTTCCTGGGCAACCCTAATTCGGCTCCACGTGCAAGGGCATTAGGATGCACCCAGCAATGGTGTGATCCCTGCTGTTTGCCCCGTTCCTGGCACTGGCTGGAGCCTCCAACCCCTCAGCCTTGGGGCTCATGGTAGCAGTTCTTGTGTGCTTGCTTGTGCATACTGAGGTTGTGATGCTCCTGGAGACAGGAATTGCCTCCTCACCTTTTCTGTGGCTTTTTGCTGTAATATCTGACCATTTAAAAAACAAGTGGGTTTATGTTCTCAGCATGCTACAGTTGGGAGACCTCACTCCTATGAAGTGGCATCCTTGAGGCAGTGAGCCATTTGCTCTGGGTCCAACCTAAGCCCAGCAAACCACATCCTCTGCCCGCAGAGCCTGTGTAGTCTCTCTGAGTGCCTCTGCACCCCTCTGTGAGCAAAATATCCAGTTTTAGGGGTCTTGACAGAGACCTGTTAGGATTCTCTACCATCTTCCGCTTTCTAGACCTGGAGGCATCTGAGTGGGGGCCACTCTGAGCTAGCTGAAGCTTATGTGTTCCTCTTCTGAGAAGCCAGACCCAAATGCTGCAGGAATATGCTTGGAAATAAGGTTGGGCTTGATGATCTTGGAGGACTTTTCCAACCTTAATGATTCTCTGACAGAGCAAGTACTGCAAGCAGGGGAGCCTCTCAGGCTTGTCTTGCCTGAAGCTGCTCTGGGTGTATGGGGCAGAGAGAGGGTCCAGGGCTGGCACCGGCAGCCAGCCAGGTCTAGCAAAATGCATCTAGGAACACGGGGTTCATGGCAGGTTTGAATGTGGGCAGGTTGGGCTTGGGGCTGGAGGAATGGACAGCTAACCCCTTTTTGAGCCCAGAAGGGTCAACAAAACGCATTTCACAGCCCCCAGCATGCTCGAAGCCATGAGAGCTCTCTGCAAAGGGTGAGTGTTGGGCATGGTCCTGCCTGTTTGCCCACCTTGCCTATTGAGCCATTTTAGGGGATTTGTGTATGTAAGGAGGCTGGGGCTCGCTACATGAGCTCACTTGACACGAGCATCTGTGTGAAGGTACTGTCACTGGCACTGGACTGTGCTCCACAGATGTGGTGCAGCGAGAACCTCTTTGCAGCTTTCAAGGCGTGGGAGCAGCCCATGGGATCTCCCAGGTGTTTGGAACAGCACTGCTGATCTGCCCTTGGGATCTCACGGGCAGCAGGTGGGAAGCAGGTCCTGGTGACCAAGCAGCTGCAAAAGTCACCAGCAGCTTGCATTTCCCTGGGGGGGTTTTGCCCCGGTGGTGGCAAGCAAAGGGCTGCAGCCCCCTGGGCTTGGTGTTGCCCCTTGGTGTCCCTGGTGCTTGGCAGGGCCTGAGCGATGCCACGTCGTCCCTTGGATGATGAAGGTGAGAGCACATTGCAAAGCCAGGGGCTTGGTGCCTTGCTGGCACCAGGCTGTGGCTCGGGTAGAGCTGGTGCCCCTAGCAGCTGTCTGTCCTGCTGCTGCCTTGCCAAGGGGTGAGAGCATCTGCTGCCCCCCCTTTCTGCTTACCCAGGGTGGCTGTGAGCCCTGTGGCTGGCGGGGTGTGCTCTGGGGATGATCTGCTTGCTCGTACCCCAGAATGGAGGGACCAGACTTGGAGGGCTGACTCAGGTCCCCACTGCATTGGCTGCCCAGGGAGCCGGGATGTTTAGGGAGGAGGTGCTGAGCCGGGCACGGAGAACCATGTTCCTCCTGTAGCTCATAGGGATGTGAAGGCTCGGGGCTGCATGGAGGTGTTTACAGCTCCAGTTCCTGTTCCCTTTTCCTGCTGGGTTTTGCTGCTACAGGCTATTGTTGGGCGTTTTGCACAGGAAGGAGGGAGAAGTGTTTTGTTTTAAGCCGATTATTGGAGCTGCAGAGGAATGTGTGAGCAGCCTTGATCTCCAAGGCTGTCCAGGAGCAGGGGCAGCGTGGCAGTGAGGATGGAGCCTGGCACCAAGTGGTAATCCCACCAGCCGCCAGGCCAGTTTGGGACATTGGTTGTTACTGTGGGACATCTGCATAGCCTGTGTTGTGGTAACAAAGGCTGGGGCTTTGCATCCGGGTGGACAAGGTGCTTGGGTGCACTTGGATGCTGTTGGAAGTATTGCCTGGCCCCATCTTGGGAGCAGGCTTTGGGGCTGGAGGTGGGATGTACAGCTCCAGGCTTCTTGTGGACTGCAGCATCATGTGATGGGGTGCCCTGGCTGGCAAGCTGCTGAGATACTGGAGCAGGCATGTGGCTCCAGTGCTGGAAGGGATTGAGCTGTGGGACGTACTGCATATCCTACTGCAGGATTGTCTCCTTTTCACTAGAAAGTGCAGACCTTGGGAATGCTGTGCCTTCCCTGTGATATGGCACTTGAGAAGCTCCTGGTCCTGCTTTCCAGAGGAAAGCCCTGTCTTGTGTTATTTGGGGCGCATCTGGGGATGCTGCAGGGGCCTGGGAAGGAGCGGAGAGGAAGCTATAAGCTGTTCTTAGCCCTTTTGTCAGAAAACCTCTTCAAACATGCCCACAGGAGCCCTGGAAAACAACCAATGAGTTCCCAGTCGTGCCAGTGCCAGCTGATCCCCCTGTTCTGAGATCTGTGCCCCTGCTCCACCTTGGGAGAGGAAATGTGGCTGTGTGCACATAGAGATCTGTGTGCTGTGGGGGTACGGCCCTGCCAGCAGCCCTGTGCCACACCGGGACCCAGCCGGGTGTCTGTGTGGGCACTGTGAGTGCTGAGCCCCATTGTGAGGGAGGGGGCCAGGCCGCCTTCTGCTCTGCTTGGCTCCATCCCAGCTTTTGGGACAAAGGCTGGAGCATTTCCATGGCCAAGTGCCGGTGCCTGGAAAGCTGTCAGCTGCCAGCACCTGCTCTGGGGGCTGCCATGATGCAGGTTTGGGCTCCCGGCAGCCAGTCTGGCTGCTGCTAGCAGAGCTCATGGTGAGCTCCCTGCACCCCCCAGAAAAGGCAGGGACTGCCCTAACCTTTCTCCTACCCTTCCCCTCTTCCAGCTGGCTGTCCTGGAGGACTACGCAGATCCCTTCGATGCGGCGCAGGTGGCAGGTAGCCAGACAGGGCTGGAGAAGGTGACTGAGAATGATGGATATATGGAGCCATATGAAGCCCAGAAGATGATGGCTGGTAAGGTGGAAGGCTCCATGCAAAGGCCGCTCTTTGCACCTCTCTTTGGTCGTGCAAACTCCCTCAGTTTAGTTGTCACTGTACTCTGTTCCTTGCAGCCTGTGACAGCACCAGGTCTCCCAGATAAGGCAAACCTGGGCGATCACCGTGATAGGGAACAGCTACTTTGTAGGCAGATTTTCCCATTTTTATCCATGTGCATTGGGTTTGACAGAGCCAGAGCACTCAAAGGTTGCCTGGGCCATACAGGCACATCTCTCCCTGCATTGCTGCCCCCTGAGACCCCGCTTGCCAGGCTGAGCCAGGAGAGACCTGACATTCCATGCATCTGGCTTAAAACTAAGATGGATATGGGAGCTATTTAATTCTGTTAGGACTGGGCCAGAGCATGCTGTGTCTGCCGCAGCAGCAGGGTCCCCAGTGGGCCTGTTTGGGGCTGGGAAGGCAGTGAGGTGGGAGCGTGTGCTCCTGAAGGCAGCGCTCAGGATCACCATGCTGGCTCATGCGCTCCAGGCTCTGCTCAGGCACAGGCACAGGCTCTGGCTCTGCTTTGCAGTTCTGTGGTTTTCCTGGAGCAAGTGGTTTCTGGAAAGCTCATGTGGCTTTTTGGAGTAGACCATTGTATTTCTTGGAAAAATCAGCAAGCAGTGGAAAGGCTGCTTGTGCCTGTAGAAGAGACTTTGTTTTGCATGAGGGAAGGGTGTTTTATTAAACTAGCCACACTCCCCTGGGTGTCCAGGGGAGAAACCCATCCTAGCTGCTTGCAGGAAATCAGGCTCTGGGATGCTCTGTCCCCATGGATCCTGCTTTGCAGGGCTGCCCAGGAGTGAGAATGATGATGTACTATGGAGATCTTAGTGCTGTGAACTGCTCAGGCCCTGGCTGCCCAGCAGCTCCCCTGCTTTTGGCAGGTGCTTGCTGAAGGTTTGGGGGGGGTCTCATCTATCACTGACACTCCCTATCCCATTTCACCTCTGGGTGACATTGAGCCCTGTCATTTAGCTGGGCTTCAGGGACTGTGGCCAGGCTGTGTTGAACAGAAAGCTCATAGTCTTTTCCCTCTTCTACTGCCAGAGATCCGCCAGAAGGGCTTACGGGAGGCTCCTGCCCGGCCGCTGCACCTCTACGACACTCCCTACGAGCCTGTGCTGGACATGGACAGTGAGCGCCCGGCCTGCCCCAGGCCCAGGGAGTCCCGGCTGCCCGAGGACGACGAGCGGCCACCAGAGGAGTATGACCAGCCCTGGGAGTGGAAGAAGGAGCGGATCTCCAAAGCCTTCGCGGGTGAGTGATGGGAGCAGCCATAAAGCAACCAGCACTTTTTGTGAAGCTGGATTCTTGGGGTTCCTTCATCTTCTGGGGATCAGTAGTGTTGGCGTCTGCATTTCTGTGGCCCAGAGAGTGCTTGTGCACTTGCAGAAGCTGTTTCTCTGAGCAGGGAGCCAGGCTGGGCAGAGTGATGGATAGGACTGCCTTGGCTCCCTTTGCCTCTTCCCTGCCCTGACTGATCACAGCTCTGGTGCAAGTTAACACCCCCAACCTTGGATTGCAGGGGAGAGGCTCGGCCCTGGGCTCAAGCAGATCCCTCCTTCCTGGGAGCAGGAGGATCCCCAAGGAGCCTTCGGCCAGGCTTTGTCCAGCCTCCCTGACCTATTTATCCGTGCTGCGGGATCGATTGTGTTTGTGTTTGGTAATGAGGAAATCCATGCTGTGCATTAGTGCTGGCTCCTCCACTGGTGCTGGCTAATTGCCACGCTCTTATCTAGGATGCATTTTAATTGCAGCATTGTGTGTCTGCTGCAGCTGGCGTGCAGGGCGCTCGGACTGGCAGCGCTGTGTGGAGATGCTGGCAGAGAGATGTGGAGATTTGGGCTCGAGGAGTGGTTCATCTTTTGGGTTTGAGCACTGCAAGCTGGAGATGTGTGTTCTGGGTTCGATGGCACAGTGTCTACTTGTTCCTGGGGTCACTGTGCCAAGGATTCGGCTTGTTGGGCTCCATCACGGAACATGGTGCCCTGCTGGGCTGGGTTTGTGCTGAGGTGTCTGTGCTCTAGATCTGGCCAGATGAGCCACCTTGCTCCATGTCCCTGGGTGGAAGTGGTGTGTTCTCAGGTCTGGCTCACATGTGGATGCACATGAGCACTGCCCAGGGCGCTTCAGGCCTTGCTCTGAGTCCCGAGGGAATCAGGTTGCCATGCCCTAGGCCATGTTGGGACCTGCTGCCTGTTTTTTCCTGAATCCAGAGCAGGTCCTGCTGTATCTTGGAGGATATTTTTTCCCTCCTGTGATGCCAAAATCTCTCTGCTGACCCATTCCCCCTTTGGGGAGACCCCTGGGACCTCTACTGGTGGACATTTGGTACCGGAACAAGACTGCAACCCATTGGTGCCTGGCAGGGAAACGTGGATCCTGTGGGTGGCTGGGAAGCCCCCAGGGCAAGATGAATGCATGGGCAGGACAGATGGCAATGGGATGTTTGGCCAAGGTCCCTCCGAGGGACATGTATGTGTAACGGGGTGATCACAGCCTCCCCCA